TCTTCCTTGAGGAAGGACAGAACAGGGAGCCAGGTAGCACGTTCGTACTCTGTTGCTTGCTGCTGAAACTTCCATGTATGTTTCCGGTTCCATTTGTCGCCAAAGATATGTCTCAGCTCAGACTTTAGCACTTTCCGGGTCATGTAGTGTATGTTGTTGAGGAGAAAAATGTGTCGCAGAGAGACATCTCTGTATAGTTTTGATTTCTCTTGAAGGTTGGCTTCGAGAACCGAGGTTATGGAGTAGAAATGCCGGGTCATCGCCATAAATTTATCCGGTGAAGAAGAGTCTTCGTAGGTAGACTCTTCTTCGCTCATCCCTGGATTGATCATATCCGGCGATGGAGGTATTGTGAGATCTTCTACGTCGTCGTGTTCCAAGAGAAGTGAATCAAGCGTCTGGCTGAAATCTGTCAACGCCATGAGGTAATTCATCACATAGTTTGTAAGTGGGTGAACCGCTCCTCCCGGGAAAGGATGCGATGAGACATCTGAAGCAATTGCACTCTTGAATTCAAGAAACGTTGCTCGTGCACAGTCCCCGAGTCTCCTCATTACTTCCCTGTATTCTGTCCTTACACATGAACCAGAATTATCCGAGAACAGATCATCGATCTCTGGTAAAAGCTCGGATGCTAGCTCGTACATCTCAAGAATCCTAAGCAATTTCTCGGGCTGTCGTGGACCAAGAGACACAGCTTCACCAAAATTGAGTAATTGCATCACCGGAGCCTTCACTGTGTCAACAAAACATGTTACACCGAACTCGTTTAGGTCCCCGAATATCTGATTATCCAGAGACTTCTCGCTCAAGAGATATATCTGGACGATATTTCTCATAACCCGAACCCATTTCTTGATATTCGTATTCAATGTAGCCCAATCCATCCTCAAAACATCTTCGATACTCAACTTCTCGACCTCATGGTTATAGAGAAACTCATCAAGCGCGTCTTTTCTAACCATTGTACATACCTGGATACACTCACGGTCATATCCTGAAGCAATCATAGTGTTTGCAATGTTCTTGAGATCTGATATAACATCAGGATTCATCAAATCAACAACGATTTCCGCTGAGTTTCTCCTACTGTAGTTGTTGCTTCCAAGAATCAAATCCTCAGTGGAAGCAGCACCAAAAGAACCCGCGAATCCTTCTTCCACACCATGATCCGCTTCACTTGACCGAAAAGAAGCATGTTCAAGCTCAAAAGGCAATCTGTTCTCCACAAGCAGATGCTTAAACTCATCCTCCAGCCTTGCCATCGCTGTTTGAAGAACATCATGAGCTTTTCTCAGCGAAATGTCCTCGGTCCCTGTCTTTTCTGAACCCAAAGAACCGTCTAACCGATCAATCAACACTCTCAACTCATTCACAGCATCCAAAAAGTCATTGCCTTCATCTGAACCCAAGTCCCAAATCATCGATTCATCGACTTCCCGAGTCATAATCTTCTCACAAACAAGATTAAGCCTTTGCTCAGTGTCACCTATCTCATCTTCCTCATATCTATCTTCACAGATCCCCAAACGGGAAAGCTCTGATAACAGAGTCCCCAAAACCTTCTTAGCATTCTTAGTGAGGCTCTTGCCAGATCTAAGTTCCTTAACAAGATAGTTTGCAGCAACAATCAACTTCTCCTCTCCATCTACCTCAAACTCTCCCATCTCCACACAATCACTAATTGCACAAATAAGCTTATCCAAAACTTAAAAGCCTAAAACAAACAAGCTCTAAACCCTAATTCTCAGAAACCAGAAAATGGAAGAATCACAAAGAACCTTTATAAGGTAGACATGAAAGTTTGAGACTTTAGAGCAAGAACTTAGCAAAAGAGGATCTTTTTCACTTGGAAAAAAACAAGGGAAAGATTCATAAAGAGAGATCTTACAGAAAATCTGGGGAAAGAATGAAAGAGCAAATTAAGTAAGAAAAGGAAACAAAGGAGCCCTCTTTAAAGATTGCTCACTATCAAACTCTGATTGAAAAATGCAGATTTTCTTGGAGAACAAATTTTCCCGGAAAATCTCAATTCTTTTTTTTTTTGGTGCTCTTGGAAAATTGCCTTCTTTTCTTCTATAAGGACTGGTTGGTTTGTTTTGTTCCTCTCTCTATCTCAGAC